TTCTCCAGCCTTTCAGCTTCACCACAGACTGAAGTTCCTGTCTGAAGATGGACACTAGCGTAGACTCATCTAGGAGATCCATCATCACTCAAGAGGGACCCTACAGGGAAGTTCATGCATTCTTTAAAAGCCCTGCCCCATTCACAGGATGCCCAGGGATGAAGTGGCCTGCCCAGCATGTCCTCAGTCCCTGGAGAGTTGAAGACATTCAGGAATCTTTCACTGTTGTTTCCTTAATGCCCAGGGTGTGTGTGATTCCCAGATCTAGGTAGGTTCTGTGGGTAGGGTTTGATTGTGGGCTAGCCTGGGTTTAAGGAAGACAGCTCACACCTAGAATCCTGTTGGGCCAGTGAGGGGCTTGCTCTGGTTGGGGTGGAGCTGGGCCCAGAGCAACTCTGGAATGAAGTCCCCCTCCTCCCATGAAGAACAGGCTTCATGTTCCAATAGGACAGCTGACACACATGCAGAGGAAGTTGATGATGACTCTGTGGAGATGATCCAGGTGGGACTAATTCAGATGCACCCCTGGGGACACAATTCTAAGTGGGACTCATTCAGATGCCCCCGTAAGGACACAAGTCCAGGTGGGACTTGTTCAGATGCACTCCTGAGGAGGCAATCCCAGGTATGGTTGTTCAGATGTGTCCCTGGGGACACAATCCCAGGTACTGCTTGTTCAGATGTGTCCCTGGGGACACAATCCCAGGTATGGCTTGTTCAGATGCACCCCTGGGGAGGCATTTCCAAGTAGGACTCATTCTCAGTTCCTTCTTGCTGCTCATAATGCCGGTCACTCAACTCTGAGACATGCCTCCCCCAGTGACTCCTAGGAGTTCAAGTGCTCCTGACGCAAGATAAAGATGGAAGACGAAGACATGGAGCTGGACTGTGGGGAGGCAGTGAGCAGAGAATGTGCTGCCCACTAGGGAGACAGCCCCAGATGGGAAAAATATTGTCACATAAATCTTAGGGAGACTCAGATGTAGGGTGCGCCAAGAAATTCTGGGAAATCAGAGAGCTCAGGAAGAGAAAGCCTTCAGGTTGGCAGTGAGGAGCCCAAGCCTGGACTTAGACAGGGCAGGCAAAGTCTACTATCAGGGGCCCCATGACCCAGAAATCACCTTTCTGGAACCGGAAGTGTGTTACAAGTAAAAGAAATGGGGGTGTAGTTAGAGTTGTTGCTGGACTCGGTGGCCTTCTTAGTCCTAGTCAGGCATGGGGAGGAGGCAGAGAATGTCAGTGGACATGGACGATCAAGACAACGCCAGTGACTGATGAGAAGACTTCAAATACTTACTGTTGAAGCTCAAAGATCATAGCCTTCAGTATGGGTTGCACCTCAATGTAAAGAAAGCAAAAATCCTCACTACTAGACCAATAAATGACATCATGATAAGTGGAAAACCTTGTGTGGCACTGTAAGATAAGCACTAGACTGTAATGTCTGTTTGAATCACGAAGTCAGTGGTTCAAATCTACCAGCTTCTCCTTGGAAAACCTAATCAGGGTCACTATGAGTCAAAACCAACTCAGCAACACTTAACAAAAACAAGAAGCTGTGAAAAGGTTGAAGTTGTCAAAGATTTCATTTTGCTTGTATCCACCATCAACATTCATGGAAGCAGCAAATCAAACAATGCGTTGCATTAGGTAAATGTGCTACACAAGAACTCTTTAAAGTGTGCAAGAGCAAAGATGTCAGCTTGAGGAGTAAGGTGCACCTGACCCAAGCCATGGTACTTTCAATAGCTTCATATGCATGTGAAAGTTGGACAATAAGTAAGGAAGACCTTAGGAGAATTAAAGCATTTGAGTTATGGTGGAGGAGGAGAATACTGGAAGTACCATGCACTACTGATGGTTCTGCAGGAGAAAGATGAGGCTTTCTGCTTCCATGAAGATATACAGCCTCGGAAATCCTGTACAGGGTCTCTGTGAGTCGGAACTCTGTGACTCCATGGCACACAACCACCACCAACCACCATCACTATGGACTACCAGAAGAACCAACTAATTTGTGTTGGAAGAAGTACTTGTAAGAGTGCTTCTTAGAAGCCAGGTTGGCGAGACTTTGTTTCTTGTACTTATGACATGTCAGGAGGAACTAGTCCCTGGAGAAGAACATAATGTTTGGTAAAGTGGAGGGTCAGCAAAAAAAGAGGAAGTCTCCTAATGAGATGGATTAATACAAAGGCAACAGCAATGAGCTCAAATGTAACAATTGTGAGGATGGCACAGGACTGGGCAGTGTTTCGTTCTATTATGCATTGAGTCACTATGAGTCAGACCTGACTCAACAGCACCTAACAACAACACAGGTGATGCTATAGATTGACTTGGGTTTGGGTCACCTCATGATCTCCATCTGTTTCTCCCAGCAACCCCAAGTAAACACATAGAGACTCTATGCCCCAATCCTCCACTCCCAGAGGGCAGTGAGGGGTGAGGCCATGTGGTCCCTCTTCCCTGGGTCCTGCCAAGGAGAGTTGGAGAAAGGAACCATCAGGACCCATCTCCCCATCTCTCTGGTTCTAAAGCTCCGTGTTCTTTTATCTGTCTTGGACTCTCCTCCAGTTTCTCAGGCCCTCTTGCACACTTCCTCAAGAGAGAAAGTCTTTTGTCCCTGGATGGGCCAGCAGTCCCTCTCCACTCCACTGCCCACCTTCCACAGTCTGCTGACTGGCATGGTAGGAGAAGGAGCTGTAGGATCTCTGGAGGGAATGGTGCTGATGTGAAGAGTCTTCTAGGCAAGTGACCATCCAGAAAGACTCAGAAATCTTTATATATATATACATATATATTGCAAGGCCAGCTGGACGTTTCCTTCCCTACTTCACTTCTGTAAAAATCTGACAAAGGCACAGGGTGGAGGGTTCTCCCTTAGCATGGCTTCCAGAGTTGTGTGTGTGCCCTGTGAGGTGAGGGGTTTAGAAATACGGAGATGCTCTAAGTTTGTCTAGGTCTCCAGGATAAGCTTGCTCTAGGCTTGCCCTACCTGCCCAAGAATTGTCCGTGATTTCTCACTGGGACAATGCTAGATCAGCCTTGGAGCTAGAGTAGGTTTGATGGCCCAGAGGGACAAGGACTGTGGTCAGCACACCCCCTTCCAGTTGTCACTGCATTACGAGCCCCTGTACTGAGTGACCACGTTTGCAGGGTCGTCAGGGCTGGTTCGTGTTCTTTTGCTCTTGGTCCTGTGCACCCTCTGTGACCACCTGACATGCCACCATCTCTCTCAGCTCAGCACACAAGAGGAAGAGCGTGTGGATGCAGGACTCGGTCCAGAAGGAGGAACTAGACTTTTGGAGCAAGAGACCAAGGCTGAGAGATGACTCCCTGGGTGGGCCTGGGACGAACATGGGGCGGCAGTGTCTGGGGGAGATGAGAAGACAGCAGAATTTCTCAGAGAAAGTGTGTGGGCACTGCAGCCAGCGTCATGGCTAACTGGTCATGTGACCTGGGAGTGGTCTCTCCCCCAAGGCCTGTGTGTTGGTAGGTGATATCACACTGGGTCCAGCTGAGGTTCCCAGTGTGGCCACTTTACCTCTCCCAGTTCCCAAGCTCCCAACATCTTTTCTGTTGACCACGGCCCCTCGCGGTCCTATTCTTTCTTCTCTATATGGTCTTCTCCTTTCTCCAGGGCTCCTGCACTTTGTAGTTTCTGACCATCACCATTAAACCTGCTGCAGAACCCTACTTCCCCAAAGAGAAGTTGGTCCCCACACAGCAGACCCACGGCCACGCAACAATGGGGTGACCTGGCCATCCCATGGGAGGATGTCCTACCTTCCCACATTGCTGTCCCCCACTCCAGTGCCTGGGCCAAGTGCCCTGCCTCAGGGGGACCCTTCCTCTCCAGACTTCAGTGTTCTAATTTCTCATCCCACCTTAGAAGTGCCTGGGGCATCCAGTGGCTAATCCTTTTGACAATCAGTTGAAAGGTTGATGGTTCAAATCCACCCCAGGTGCCTTGGAAGAACGGCCTGGTGGTTGAATCACTCTGACACACAGGAACTTCAAATATGTTGTCAAGAGGGACCAGTCATTGGAGAAGAACATCATGGTATTGAGTTGCTCTATTCTGACATAAAAAACATAGTTTTGACATGCTATCAGGAGGGACTAGTCTCTGGTGAAGGACATCAAACTGGGAAAAGTGGAGGGTAAGAGAAAAAGAGGAAGAACCCCAATGAGATGGATTAGCGTAGTGGCAGCATCATTGGGTTCAAACAGAACAATTGTGAAGTTGGCCCAGGACAACTTGTGCAGGACAACGGTGCCTCTTCCCCTTGTGCACAGGGTCTCTGGGAGTCAGAACCAACTCAACGCTACCTAACAACAACTGATACACATGGGATCACCACGGACCAGAGCTGATGAAGCATGGTTTAGGGTTTTTGTGCAAGAGTGTATATGCACATGCTTTCTTGAGGATTTTAACCTGGACATTTGGGGACACCTCAGCATCACCCCGATGCTGACTAGGTGAACAGACATGTGTGTCACCCGACTCACCATCAATGACAATGCTGTCTGAACTGGGGAGACACGCAGGGATTACTGTGTTGGCTGGTGGGTGGAGCTAACCCTTGTGCACCCCTCTTCCTTGTTATGGGGGTCCCAGCCCAGCCCCCTTTAGAAGACCGCTATGCCCTGGGGACCTGGAGGGCTGGACACTGGAGTCTGTGGTCATTACTGAGAAGATTGCAAAGGGCAGCAATGGCCAGCGAACAGGGCTCCTCACAGCCTGAGGGTGGTCAGGGGTGGGCAGCTTCCACAGAGGCCCCGAGTCACGCTGAGCCTGCACGCCATTTTTATTGGTTCATCTGTTTTGGATTCAAGTCAGGGAGTAGGGTCCTGGGGGAAACAGAGAGGAGGCAGGTGTCCATGAAGAAAGGTGAGGAGTGGGGAGAAGTCAGTAAGAACAAGAGGGTTGTGGGGAGGTTAGGACCCCAGCTGACATGTTGGGAGGAGCTCAGTGCACCTGCATGTTTTCTGGTTCAGGAGTCCTTTCTCTTGACCTGAGGAGAAGAAACAGGGTCAGAAGCTCAGGGCTGTAGGCAGGGGCATGTCCAGTGACCCCTGTTCTCCAATTGCAGCCTGTCTCCCAGCAGGGCTGAGGACTGGCTGTAAGACCCCCTTGTGTTCCTGTACAACGTCACCCTTCTCTCCAGTAGCCCCCTACCCTCTCCCCCACTTACCATGGCCACCAGCACAAGGGTGCTGACCAGCACAGCATACAGGGCTGCCTTCCCCAGCAGGACCTCGTACAGGACAGTGGCCGACAAGATGCCCTGTTGGTAGGACACTGGGAGGGGCAAAGGCAGTCTCTGAGCAGGAGGCTCTGGTCCCAACCCCACCCCAATACCCCATGCTCCCCAGGCACCGTCCAGACGTGGGAGATGGGGGCTCACTTACCCGCAGTGAGGCCACAGTCTGAAAGAGAAGAGAGGGTGAGCAGGGCAGGTTCTAGGGGAGGACAGCCCATCAGCCTACAGATGGCCAGACGGGACCACTCCTCCTCCTGGGCAGCCCCACAGTATCCTGGGACTTTAGGGTCAGGACACCACATGTGACCGCAGGACACAAAGGCCAGTGGAGGCATAACACGCCAACACTAAACTGACCCATCCCCTCTGTCCTCTGTGCTAGGTCAGCTCTGCCCCTCCTTTGTCTAAACTCAGTCTCTGTTTGTTCACACCTGACACCCCTCCCCTCAGGGACTGGTCAGCCTGACCCTCCTGTCCCCCCAGCACTCCCACACTAAACTGTCCCCCTCCCCCACATGCTGGTCAGCCTGAGTGTGCCCTGAGCCCCCATGCCCTCACCTGCACGGCCCCAGGCCTCCGCACTGATGTTCTGGGTGATGGGCTTGGCCCTGGCTGACTGGGTCCACTCGTCGCCCTCCGAGAGCCCGTAGAACTGGACCTGGCAGCGGAAGTGGTTGCGCGGGTTGTGCCAGAAGGTGGCCGCCACCCTCAGCCGGCTGCTCAGGCAGTACTTGGAGTTCTGGTCATTGGGATGCTCCAGCTTGGGGTTGGGGTCCGTGCTGACCCCACTGTGGGCCTTCTTGCCATTCACCCACCAGCTGAGCTCCACGTGGTCCGGGTAGAAACCGGTGGCCAGGCACACGAGAGTGGCCTTCTGGGTTCTGTTGACCTCTGCCTCCGAGGGCTCAAACACGGTCACCTTGGGCGGTTCCACCTTGTTCAGGTCCTCTGTGGAGTGGGGCAGGGCTGGTCAGAGAGTGGGGTGAGGGTCTTGGGGCAAGTTGACAGTGTGTGTGTATATGTATGCATGTGTATGTGAGCATGTATTATGTGTCTGCATGTGTGTGATGTGTTCCTGTGTCCCTGTTTCTGTGTGTGTATGTGTACATGTGTATGTGGGTATGAGTATGTGTTGTGTGTCTGCATGTGTGTTACTGTCTGCATGCTGTGTGCCTATGTTAAGGGAGTGTAGTTGGGGTCACACTTCAGCATCATGATGAGCAGTAATTCCTTTTGTCCCGGATGCTGCCCTGTCCTTGTGCATTCTGTTTACATACCTCATGGACACTTCCACATCTCCCCACATGCTCCGATGCCCGGCTTTGCCCACAGGGACTCCTGCCTGCTCTCAGGTCACACAGGTAATGACTTACCCATGTCTCAAACATAATGACTTGACAGTTTTCTTTGTCATTTTTTCTCCAAACTTTATACATTTCCCTCTGAGCAAGTTTTCTTAGAAAGTGGCTTAGCTCTCCAGAGCTACCAAATGTCTGGATACAATCTTTATCCTAGTATCTCCGGGCTGAAGTCCACACCCACGCGCCTCCTCTCTTGACCAATTCCTTTCCTTGGGTCCCGCTATTCTCCCCTGCTTATCCTCTGCTTTCCAGACATCATTTTCTGTTCAGAGCATTTCCATGACAATGGAGATGTCTGGTCCTCATGAGCCCCCAGTCTACCTGTTCTAAAGGACACGTCCCATTTCTATGGGTGTGACCTTGTCCAGCATCAACTTAGGTGCATGACCCATCTCAGAGAGCCAAGCTTGGTTCCAAGCTCTGAAGCCGCCATCTTGGATTTCTTGGTAGCTTTTTTAACAAGGCTCCCACATGTGCCTCATGAGCTGGAACCACACACTTTGCTGGGTCCTGACTCCCCTGTGTCAGGCCTCCCCCTCCCCTGCTAACTGCTGCTGTGCCTACAGGTCTTTACTGGCTGTCCTGGACCAAGAGGGCTGGACACCTCCACCTGAATTCATTGCCTCCATCCCTTTTTCTGCTGCCAAGTTGACCACATAAAAAATAATAAATTATAGAGAGCCCCTTATTAACTCTTAAATAGGACAAAGATAAGGCATCAGGTGAGGGAGAACATCAACAGGAGGCCATAATGGTATTCAAAGAGTTCATGGTCACACTGCTAATGATGGAACATAGAAAACAAGGACAGGTTCACAAAATCATGACTGGGGAAGGAAAATTCATCACCTTCACTGATGGAGCTATGGAAGCAGGGAAGAGACCATGCTTAGGCTAGGACTCAGCCTGGTCATTTCACTCTGGTATCAAGGACCTGGATTGGGACTACCAGCCCTGTAGGACTGCTTCTCCAACCTCTCTCCTGGCACACAGTCTTTGTAAAAATGAAAGCTCTCCTGAGCCCCAGCATGTTTAATGACAGACCCAGAGGGACAAACTGAGGCTGGAGCCCCAATGTACCCCAAAGCCGTCTGCCATGTTTGGGTGTACCAGGGGGTCGGGGATAGACCCTGCAGATATAGATGAGAACATGAGAGTCTTCTGCTTTGTGCTCCCAGCTTGGGCTGAATAATCTCCGATAATATGGAGCTGTTTCTCCTTCCTGCCTCTCTCATATAGGCACGGCCTTCCCGCCAGTCCCTTCCATTATTCCTGACTGGCTCTGATACGGGGGCTCCTCCTGCCTTCCCCCTCTCCCAGTGACTGTGTAGGGTGAGTGGGGGAGGGAGGCACCAGCCACTGCACTGGGTTAGATACCTTAATTCCCAGGGCCAGAGTAAGTGGCAGGGCAGGGAACTGGGGACTGCACAAATTAACTTGCCCAGGGTCACTGAGCATGAAGGAGTGGAGGGAGGGACCCCAGCAGTCCCTACGCTTGGTCCATGGAGTCCTGCTTCCTGACCAGCTACAACAGATGGGCCAACCTGCCTCAGGTTGTCAGCAGAGTCTGTCCTGGTGTCATAGTTGAGGTTTGATCCCTCGTCCTACGAGTGTCCTCATTGCAGGTGACATCTGAGCCCCCCATTCCTCCACTCTAAAGTCCTTAGACCTTCCTGAGAGCTGTCTCCATCACCCAAGTGAAGGGTCTGCATTTCAGTGTGGCTTTGGGATGGAAGGACTGTACTACCTGAGTTGAGGATCTTAGGGCTTCATGTCAGAATTGAGTCCAGGCAGGGAGTGAGTCTGTGGGGAGGGCCCCCTACATTCACTGGGGGTCAGCCCTGTCTTTGCTATTGCTGTGCATAGCCTACTTTGGGGACTCTGGGCTGCGGAGGGGACCAACATGAAAACCCATTTCTGTTGAGTTGATTCCAGCTCATAGCAACCCTATAAGGACTGAACAGAACTGCCCCACAGGATTTCCAAGGCTGAAAATCTTTATAGAAGCTCCTACTTCATCTTTCTCCCTCAGAGTGTCTACTGGGTTTGAACTACCAACCTCTGGGTTAGCAGCAGAACGTTGAACCGTTCTGCTACCCGGGTTCTTGATGGGGACAGGCAGGAGTTTTAAACCTAATTTTAAAACCAGGTGTCTAAACCTGAATCTGCAAAAAAACCTGTCTTGTTTTGAGTGTTTCCTTTACTGACTCCTGTCTGTCTGTGTCTGGGGTCTCTACTCCACACTTGATGTTTGCCCTCGTTCCGCCTCATCCTCCTGCCCCCTCAATAACGCCTGTCCCTTGCGCTTTGGGGGAGGAGGCAGCTCTGCTGTCCCTCTGTATGAAACAGCCCCAGCCCCTCCTGTGCCCTCCCCAGACCAGCTCTCCCAAAGGCCTGAACGTTCCCTCTCCACTGCTCACTCTGTCCCCAAATTCCCCAGAAAAAGAGACCCAAAGCTGTCCTCACCTTCTGCCCATGTCCCCGGACTGGAAGCACCCCCTCCACGTCCTTCCAGGAGCGGGGAGGGGGTGGGGTGGTGCAGAACGGACTCTACCTCCCGCCTTGGACAGTCCCTTCCCGGATAACCGATAACCTTAAGTGGGGTGGGGACACGGGTCCCGATCTCACCTGTAACCGTGAGTTTAGTGCCGGACCCGAAGTACTGTTCATAGGAACACAGGGGTACAGCCCAGTGTGCAAACCCCGCCACGTGCACCCCTCCGCAGTGTCGCCCTCGCCCCCCAGCACCTCCCACTTCAAGTACCCCAACCAGGTCTCCCAACCCAAAGCAGGGAAGGGACCCGGTTGCTCATTAGCAAGAGGTGCCTCTGGCCCGCCTTCGTCCACTCGCGGAATCTTGGAACCCCCAGCGTCCGCGGCCCCAGGTTCCGCAGGTGTAGTGCATCGCTGGGGTCCCCAAGAGTCCGTCACGGACCGCCCCACCGCCCGGAGCTCACCCAGTACGGTCAGCCGGGTGCCGGCGCCGAAGGTCTGCGATTCAGTACACGCCTCCAGGGCCCGGTGCAAAAACCCGGCCAGGCCTGCGCCCACCCTAGCTTACCCCTTCCCCTCATCCCGCGTCCCTGAGCTCCCTCCCTGTCCTGCCGTCCTCGCTCACCCAACACAGTCAGCCGAGTGCCGGCGCCGAAGTATTGTGTATCTTGTGCTCACAGTCTCAGGGCTCAGGACAAAAACTGGGCACAAACACCCCCCTGTCCGGGACTCGAGCCCAGCGCAGTCTGGCGATCAGGCAGCTTCCAATCTGCCCGCCCACCCGCTGAACGCCGGGGACCCCGGGCTCCCGCCTTACCCAGTACGGTCAGCCTAGTTCCTTCCCCAAAGGTGAGCTGCGCTGCGTTGGCACAGCCCCTGGGACCCCAACGCAAACCGAGAGCAGCCCCCCACCTGGTGCACTGCTTACCCAGAACAGTAAGCCTGGTTCCTGGCCCAAAGTACAGCTCATTGTAATAGCACAGTGGGAAGGGGCTGCAAGAATTCCCTTCCACATTGGCATTAACAACGGCCCCCAGGGGACCTCCCTCCCTCTTCTTCCTCTACTTCAGGGGTTACCTCTAGAATGAGCTGGGCAGATCAATCATGAAACCCATCCCCTACTGTCACCCCCATTTGCGGGGAGAGCCAGCTTGGCTTGGTTAAAGGAGCCATAGCTGACATCAGAGAGTGCGTACGCCCGGAGGGAACTGCTCCAAGCTAACCCTGCCTCTTACTCCATGTCTGACTGTGACCCTTCCCACCTCAATTCTCTTACCTGGAAAACTGGGGTACCATCTTCATGTCCCATACTGTGGACATGCTTTCAGAGGGAGAAGGAGAGCATGTTTGGTAGAGTCAAAGGAGGAAGCCCCTCAAGGAAATAGATTGACACAATGGCTGCAGCAAGGGGGTCCAACAGAATAACTGTGAGGGTGGGGTAGGACTGGACCCTCTCTAGGGTTGCTGTGAGTTGGAACTGACTTAATGGAGTCTAACAGATTATCCTGAATTATATTAAACACAGCATATTTACCTTCTCAGTCAGATGGCGGGGGCCTCTACTAGAAGTGCTGGTTCTGATCCCATGTTCATGACTCTACCTGCACCCAAGGAGGGAGAGGCAGAGGTTGGTCTTCCTCCATGGTGGGATCGTCTCTAGGCCTCCACCTCCTCCCTGTCTAGAGCTGTATCCTGTGAGCAGGCAGAGATTTCCTAGACAGGGATTTAAATTTTTATCTTCAGTGGTTTTTAATTATTATTTTTATTTCATGCTTGCCTTTATTATTATTGGTTTTGAATTACTGTTATTATCTAAACCACTTGTCTGTCAGTTTGCTGTACTGTGCTAGCTTGGATGTTGCTGTGATGCTGGAAGCTATGCCACCGAGTCACTCAAGGTGGATAGATTTCAGCTGAGTTTCCAACCTTAAGACAGATTTGGAAGATGAGACAGACTACTTCCCAATGTTCGGCCACCAAAAACCTTATGAATAGCAGTGAAACACTGTCAGACAGCACCAGAATATTAAATATTGAAACATGATGAATAGCAGTATAATAGTGTCGGATGTACTTCCAGAAGCTGAGCCCTGTAGGATGGAAGGCGCTCAAAATATGACTGGGGAAGAGCTGCCTCCTCAAAGTAGAGTTGACGGCGATGGCCTGAGTGGAGTAAAGTCTTTGGGACCTACATTTGCTGATGGGGCACAACTCAAAATGAGGCAAAATAACAGCTAACACTAATTAATAATTGGAACATAGAATGTATGAAGTATGAATCAATTGGAAGTATGACAAATTGGAAGTTGTCAAAAATGAAATGGAATGCATAAACATGGATATCCTAGGCATTAATGAGCTGAGATGGTAGTGGCCATTTTGAATTTGATAATCATATCGTTCGCTATGCTGGGAATGACATATTTAAGAGGAATAACATTGTATTTATCATCAATAAGAACATTTCAAGATCTATCTTGAATTATAATGTTGTCTGTGATAGGATAATATCCACACACCTACAAGGAACACCAGCTAAGATCACTATTATTTATGTGCCAACCACTAAAAGTGAAGATGAAATTGACGAATTCAATGACTTCTTAGTCTGAAATGATCAAATATGCAATCAATATGCTGATAATTACTGGTGAATGGAATGCAAAGTTTGGAAACGAAGAAGAAGTATCAGGAGATGGAAAATAAGGCCTTGGTGTTAGAAACAATGCTGGGGATTGCTTGACAGAATTTTGCAAGACCAGTGAAAATTTTTTTTAAATTTACATACATATATTTTAATATCTTTTGTTGTGAGTTGGGTGAATGTTTAGAGAAGAAATTAATTTTCCATTTGATAATTCAGACACGTTTTGTTTCATGCCATTGACTGCATTCCCCACAATGTAACAACACTCTTTCCATGTCTTCCCTGTATTGCCTGTTTCCATTGCTCCTCTTTCCTATTCCTTCCCAGCTTTGGAACTTTGAGCAATTGCTGTTCTTTTGATCCTGTATAGTTGAGTGTTCTAAGGAGTGCATACCTGGTAGTGGTGTTCACCTTACAGGCCTGTCTATTGCTTGGCTGAAAGTTGAGTCACGGAGGTGAGTTACTGAACTTGAAGGCTTTAAGTGTGACTGTGTTGTGTGCTGTGGAGCCTGTTCCGATCCATAGCGACCCTGTACAGGGTTTCTGAGGCTATAAAGCTTTACAGGAGCAGAACGCCTTATCTTTCTCCCTCAGAACAGCTGGTGGTTTCGAACTGCTGAGCTTGAGGTTAGCAGCTCAATTTGTAACCAGTACGTTACTAGCAATGTACAGATGTCCCAATTTCTACACATCTTTCCCAACACATGTTACTGTAATTACTGTTTTTTATATGCAGCATAGTGAGTGTAAAGAGTCCTCGTGTGGCATTGGACTGCTGCAAGGTTTGGTTGTTCAAACCCACCAGCCACTCTTTGACAACTCTGTAAAGTTAAAAAACGGCTCAACAACAAACACGGTGAGTATACAGTAGTATCTCAGTGTGCTTTTGATTTGCATTTTCCTAATGACCAACAATGTTGAACATATTTTTACATACTTGTTGGCCATTTGTGTATCTTCTTTCGAGAACTGTTTATTCAAGTCTTTTGCTCCTTTATAAATTAAAAAAAAAATCATTTTGTTGTTGAGTTGCCTGAGAGTTTTTTTGTTTTTGTTTTTTTAAATTAAATGTTTTTATTTTGCATTGAGTGAAAGTTTACAAGGCACATCATCAGCTTCACAGTCAACCATTCATATAGCTTGTTTCATTACATTGATTATTATCCCCTCCATATATCATCAGTTTACAGTGTTTCTCTCTATCCTCTTTAACTTTTTTTTTTTTTGGATGGGGGGGGACTTGCCTTTTTGGAATTTACAGTCTTGGCTTTTAGGGAAGGTTTTTACATTTGTCTGTGGATATCCAGGGCTCATGTATGAGATTACTAGCAAGCATTACTGAATAATCAGATGAGGGACAGTTTGCTATGTCTACTAGGTGGTTAGAGTCTGATCCTCAGAGCCTATGGTTTGGACGGTCAACAATGCTTGGGCCCACAGGGGCTTGGCCTCCTGACCGGGTCTGCACTGTCTGCATCTGAATCCTCTTTATTTATTGATTGTTTAAGGGACGCTGCCTGTCTTAGGTGGTCAGTGCGAATTCCTCAGTCTTACCAGTCATTGAGACTCATTGCAGCATACCAGTGAAATTTTGCAAGACATGTTTTAAAACAACATAAAGATGACTATACACATGGACCTCACTAGATGGAAAACACAGAAATCAAATTAACTACATCTGTGGGAGGAGACAGTGGAAAAACTACTTATCATCAGCCAAAACCAGTCCAGGGACAGATTGTGGAACAGACTATTAGTTGCTAGTGTGAAAGTTCAGACTGAGGCTGAAGGAAATTAAAACAAGTTCATGAGAGCCAAATTATGACCTTGAGCAGATCCTACATGAATTTAGAGATCATTTCAAGAACCAAGTTGATGCATTACATACTAATGACCAAAACCCAGAAGAGTTGTGGAATGACATGAAGAACATCATACAAGAAGAAAGAAAAAGATTGTTAAGAAGGCAAGGAAGGAAAGAAAAGACCAAAATGGATGTCAGAAGAGTCTCTGATACTTGCTCTCCAGCATAGAAATGCTAAAGCAAATGGAAGAAATGAGGAGATAAAAGAGCTGAACACAAAACTTCAAAGGACAGCTCAAGAAGACAAAGTCAAATATTATAAAGAACTATGTAAAGGAGCTCTGGTAGCGTAGTGGCTACGAATCGGGCTGCGAACCTTAAGGTCAGCGGTTCGAAACTACCAGCTGCTCCGCGGGAGAAAGATGAGGCTTTCTACTCCCGTAAAGATTTACACCCTCGGAAACCCTGTACAGGGTCGCTATGGGTCGGACCCGACTCCACGGCACTTAACAACAACAACAACAACAACAACATGTAAAGATCTGGAGTAAGAAAACCAAAAGGGAAGAATAGCTCAATATTTTTAAACAGAAAGAACTGAGTGAAAAATTCAAGTCTTGACCTGAAATATTGAAGGATGCTTTGGACAAAATATTGAATGATGCAGAAAGCATCAAAAGAAGATGGAAGAAATACGCAGTCACTGCGTCAAAAAGAAATGGTTGGAGTTTAACCATTTCAAGAAGTAGAGTCTGATCAACTGCCAGTGGTAGTGAAGGAAGAAGTCTCCTGTGCACTGAAGGCATCGGCAAAGAACAAGGCTTGAGGAATTGTTGGACTACAAATCGAAATCAATCAACGAACTGATGTAGAAGTGGAGACAATCACTCTATGCCAAGAAATTTGGAAGACAGTTACTTGACCAACTGATTGGAAGAGATCCATATTTGTGTTCATTCCAACAGAAGTAATGTAACAGAATGCAGAAATCATCAGACAATATCATTAATATCACATGAAAGTAAAATTTCACTAAAGATCAATCAAAACAGCTTTCACAGTATGTTAATAGGGAAGTGTCAGAGGTTCAAACCGGATTCAGATGAGGACATGGAACGAGGGATATCATTGCTGATATCAGATGGGTTTGGCTGAAACTCCAGAATACCAGAACGATGTTGACTGGTGTTTTATTGACTATGCAAAGGATTTTGATTGTGTGGATCATGACAAGTTATGGACAACACTGTGGAGAATGAGTATTCCGAACACTTAATTTTGCTCACAAAGAACCTGTACATAGACCAAGGGACGCTAAGCGGTTTAAAATGAGGAAAAATGTGCACCAGGGTTGTATTGTTTCACTGTGTTTATTTGATCTGTCTACTATGCAAATAATCTGAGAAGCTGGATTACATATATGAAGAAAAAACATGACATCAGGATTGGAGACATGCTCACTAACAACTTGTGATATGCAAATGATACAAATTCACTTGCTGAAAGCGAAGAAGACTTAAAATACTTAATGATTAAGACCAAAGACTTCAGTATGGGTTTCACCTCAGTGTAAAGAACAGAAAAATCCTCACCACTTGACTAGTACATATTATGATAAATAGAGGAAAAATTGAAGTTCTCAAAGACTTTATTTTGCTTGGATCCACCATCAACACTCATGGAAGCAGCAGTCAAGAAATCAAACCGCATACTGCATTAGGGAGATCCACTGGACAAGACCTCTTTAAAGTGTACAAGAGCAAAGATGTCAGTTTGAGGACTAAAGTGCACCTGAACCAAGCCATGGTATTTTCAATAGTCTCATCCGCTTGTGAAAGTTGGACAACTAATAAGGAAGACCATAGAAGAATTGATGTATTTGAGTTATGGTGTTGGAGAATATTAAAGGTACATGGATTACCAGAAGAACAAACAAATCTGTGTTGGAAGAAGTACAACCAGAATGCATATATGCACATGCATATGAGGTTATTGAAAATACCATGGCTTGGGTCAAGTGCACCTTAGTCCTCATGTTGACATCTTTGCTCTGCAACATTTTAAAGTGGTCTTGTGCAGCAGATTTGTGCAATGCAGTATGTTGTTTGATTTCTTCACTGCTGTTTCCATGAGTGTTGATGGTTGATCCAAGCAAAATGAAGTCTTTAAAACTTCAAACTTTTATCCATTTATCAGGGTATTGTTATTGGACCAGTGGTGAGGAATTTTGTTTGCTTTACATTGAGGTGTAACCCATACCAAAGGCTGTGGTCTTTGTTCTTCATCAATAAGTATTTTAAGTCCTCTTGGCTTTTAGCAAGCAAGGTTGTATCATCTGGATATGGCAGATGGTTAATGAGCCTTTATCTCTTATACTTCAGACAAATTATCAGGAGGGACCAGTCCTTGGAGAAGGACATCATGCTTGGTAAAATGGAGGGAAAGTGAAAAAGAGGGAGACCCCAAGGAGATGGATGGGCTCAGTGGCAGCACAATGTGCTCAAGAGTAGCAGCGATTGTGAGGATGGCCCAGAACAGGTTCTGTTTGGTTCTGCTCTGCTATGAGTTAGAGCTGACTCAATGGCACTTAACAACAACAACAAATTCAGATTCCATTTACTCCTTTCCCCCACCATTTCAGGATCCATCAAAGATCAGTATTCTAGTTAGATAGCCCATATTTTTTGTTTCTCATAACTTAGAAATGTTCCAGGCAGGGTTTTTTGTAAAGGCTCCTCCTTTATCCGCATCACTGTGGTCCCCCCAGTTACCACAATGTTATACCTTGGAACAAAAATGTGCCTACCCCTCTGCCACCAATGATGGGCAGGGACAGGAAGCACAGGTGGCAAAGTTTGGTGTAACTGAGGGGCCAGGAAGAGACAATGGGGGTGCATTTAAAGTGGGAGGGACTGGGTCTTCCTGCTGAGAGGCCCCTCCTGAAGACCTGGAAGAGACCAGCTCTGTCAGGGGATTCCTCCCTTGCTGGTATGCACCTTGCCCCTATGAAAGCTGACATTTATAAAGAGGCAGGTGGGAGGAGCGAGGGGGCTGGGTAGCTTCCCAGCAAACCTGCAAAGCAGGTCACAGAGACCTTCAGCCAAAGACAAACCTCCAGAAAGCTTTAGGAACCCCCATCACATACATGAGTCTATTCATTCCACCACATCTGATGGACCCCTACCATGCACCCAGCCCCCTGCTAGTTTTGGGAATTTGAGAACACTCAGCAGAGGTCACCTGCCACTCCTGTGTCTGATCTGGTCTTCATTCACACCTCGGATAGCAGGTCCTTTCTCCTGGCTGTACGGCTGAGCCCAGGGCTACCTTTGATGCGCTTGTCACCTCCTTGGACTCTCCCTGGTTTCTGACTGTGCACGTGTGTTTAATAGATTTATTTTTTCTAAGGGCACTTTTAGATTTATAGAACAGCTGTGTAGAATGGACAGCTTCCATATGCCTCTTTATTTCCTTACATGGCTTCTCCTGTTAAGTCACATCTTGTCTTCTGTGGCTCATTCATGATGACTGATGACCCAACATGGCTGCATTCGTATTGACCCACCTCCAGAGTTGACACCAGGGATCACTGTTTATATTGATAGCCATGTGGATTTTGACACACACATCATGTCGTGTTGTGTGTCCACCGACTGTCCTATAAATGCCATTCCTTCCCTCTCCTTTTGAGCCGCTGGCCACCACTGCTGTTTTCACTCTACAAGTTTGCCTCTTCCAGAATTCTGACTACCTACAAGGCATTGTCAGCTGTAGCTGTCCATGTCTTCTCCATGAGTGGGTGAACTTCTTAGGGACTGTGACTTAGATACCTTTGCCTTCTTGAAGGTCAATGAATACACATTGCAGTACCCTATGTTCAATGGCTGTGTGTGTGCATATACTTGAAAGCATGAGCTCCCTGCACTGGGCTATGAGGTCCTGTGAGTGGAAGGGCAGGAGGCCACTTTGAGGAGGTCTCAGGTCTTCTTGGTTCACTCATGGCTTCACTCATTTATTTAAAGGTAATTTATTGGACTGAAGCAACCTACTATGGCATGCCTTGGGGATGGTGTGGTGGCATGCAGTCTGTTTTCAAGGATCCTATGGTTGGGTGGGGGTATCAGGCAGGTCCACATGTGTGAAGAGGGTTGTGGAGGAGACGTGCAGTCCAACATTAAAAGAACGGAGCACAAAAGGTAGGGAAGGCTCCTTGGAAGGAGGATGTCCAAGGTGAGGAGAGCAGGAGAGGCAGGTGTTCCTCAGGAAGAAGGTGTGGTGTCTTCTGAGGGGGAATATCTGCTCAAGGGGCAGAAAAGAAGCTGCCAGGGAGATGAGGTAAGTTGAGGTGGCAGTCAATGTGGGGTGAGGGTGGAGGTAGTTACGTGTCTCCAGAGGACAATCACCATTCAATGGAGGACTGTAGAAATAGGGTTGATTCTCAGCATGAGGGGCCTTGTGGCACCTGTCCAATTCACCAGAGAGGATGCTTAACCCATCTCTAACACACATATCGCATTTGGCAAATCTGCTGCACAAGACCTCTTTAAAGTGTTGAAGAGCAAAGATGTCAGCTTGAGGACTAAAGTGTACCTGACCCAAGCCATGGTATTTTCAATAACTTCATATGTTTGAGAAAGTTGGACAATAAATTAGGAAGATTTCAGAAAAATCGATGCATTTAAATTATGGAGTTGAAGAAAAATTTTCAAGGTTCCATGGACTGCCAGAAGTACAAACAAATCTGTGTTGGGAGAAGTACCCCCAGAATGTTCTTACAAGCCAGGATTGTCAGAATTTGTCTGTCATATTTCAGAAACAATGTCAGGAAGGACCAGTCCCTGGACACAGATATCATGCTCGGTACAGTGGAGGGTCAGTGCAGAAGAAGAAGACCTCCATTGAGATGGATTGGCACAGTGGCAGCAACATTGGCTCAAGCGAAGCAGCAATTGTGAGGTTGGTGTAGGACCAGGTGGTACTTCTTTCTGTTGTGCATATGGTCACCTAACACAATAACAGCAACATCACACCAGGAGACCCAGCTGCCCTTGAAAATGTATTCCCTAGTCTGCCCCTCGCTAGGAAACTGTCTAGGTGTGCTGCCAGACCTGCCGGAGACCCTGCTCAGTGGGATGGAAACTCGTGTCTGGCATCTGGCTTTTCCAGGGGGCCCTGATGAGTCCCCTCAGTGCCCATCACCACCTCTCACACTGTGAGAACCTCATGAGCAGGAGGAGTGATGTCAGGGGCTCTGTGAAGACCCCTGCTCCTCTCCCGATGTGCAGGTTGGTGAGGGGGCTTCAGGAAGCTGCCAAGGAGAGATCAGACACTAGGAGGCAGAGTCCAGCAGACAACATTTATTGGTTTGGTCATTGGGGTTCCGGGCCCCTGATGAGGGGAGTCTTGGCCATCAGTGTCCGGTGTGTTTGTACTTGTGGGTAGGGGGTTGACAGGAAGGTGAAGACCAATGCTGCGGTTGGGGGATGAGGAGACTGTTGAGCATGAAGAAGGGCCAGAAGCTGTTGGGTCCCCAACACGGCTGGCTTCAGGAGTGTTTCTTCTTGGCCTGAGGATGCGGAGTTTTGGGGTTACAGGAACCAGCAGAGGAGGGGTTTGAGAGGATGTTGGGAGTGCTGACAGATCCATTTAGTTCAGGACCCTGGCCCTCTCCAGCAGCCCCCGTAACCCCACAGAGGATTCTCTCTAGATTTCCCAACCTTGATTTGGCCCCTCTTTTACCTCCTGTTCCCCCCTTACCATGGTCACCAGCACAAGGGTGCTGACCAGCACGGCGTATAGGGCCGCTTTCCCCAGCAGGACTTCGTACAGGACAGTGGCTGACAGGATGCCCTGTTGGTAGGACACTGGGAGGGGCAAAGGCAGCCTCTGAGCAGGAGGCTCTGGTCCCAATCCCACCCCAGTACCCCATGCTCCCCAGGCACCATCCAGACATGGGAGATGGGGGTTCACTTACCCGCAGTGAGGCCACAGTCTGAAAGAGAAGAGAGGGTGAGCAGGGCAGGTTCTAGGGGAGGACAGCCCGTCAGCCTGCAGATGGCCAGACGGGGCCACTCCTCCTCCTGGGCAGCCCCACAGTGTCCTGGGACTTTAGGGTCAGGACACCACATGTGACCCCTGGACACAAAGGCCAGTGGAGGCATAACACGCCAACACTAAACTGACCCATCCCCTCTGTCCTCTGTGCTAGGTCAGCTCTGCCCCTCCTTTGTCTAAACTCAGTCTCTGTTCACACTTGACACCCTTCCCCTCAGGGACTGGTCAGCCTGACCCTCCTGTCCCCCCAGCACTCCCACACTAGGCTATCCCCTCCTCCACGTGCTGGTCAGCCTGAGTGTGCCCTGAGCCCCCATGCCCTCACCTGCACGGCCCCAGGCCTCCGCACTGACGTTCTGGGTGATGGGCTTGGCCCTGGCTGACTGGGTCCACTCGTCGTCCTCCGAGAGCCCGTAGAACTGGACCTGGCAGCGGAAGTGGTTGCGCGGGTTGTGCCAGAAGGTGGCCGCCACCCTCAGCCGGCTGCTCAGGCAGTACTTGGAGTTCTGGTCATTGGGATGTTCCAACTTGGGGTTGGGGTCCGTGCTGACCCCGCTGCGGGCCTCCTTGCCATTCACCCACCAGCTGAGCTCCACGTGGTCGGGGTAGAAACCGGTGGCCAGGCACACGAGCGTGGCCTTCTGGGTTCGGTTGACCTCTGCCTCCGAGGGCTCAAACACGGTCACCTTGGGTGGTTCCACCTTGTTCAGGTCCTCTGTGGAGTGGGGCAGGGCTGGTCAGAGAGTGGGGTGAGGGACTGGGGCAAGTTGACACTGTGTGTGTATATGTGTGCATGTGTATGTGAGCATGTATTATGTGTCTGCATGTGTGTGATGTGTTCCTGTGTCCCTGTTTCTGTGTGTGTATGTGTGCATGTGTATGTGGGTGTGAGCATGTATTATGTGTCTGCATGTATGTGATGTGTTCCTGTGTCCCTATCTCTGTGTGTGTATGTATACATGTGTATGTGGGTGTGAGCAAGTATTGTGTGTCTGCATGTGTGTGTACATGTGTCTGTGGGTGTGAGCATGTATTGTGTGTCTGCATGTGTGTGATGTGGTTATTGTGTCCCTGTCTGTGTGTGTGTATGTGTGCATGTGTAAGTGGGTGTGAGTATGTGTTGTCTGTCTGCACATGTGCTCCTGTGTTCCTGTCTGCGTGTATGTATGTTTATGGTAAGGGGAGTGTAGTTGGGGGTCACACATCAGCACAGCGGTGAGCAGTAATTCCTTTTGTCCCAGATGCTGCCCTGTCCTTGTGCGCCCTATTCACATACCTCATGGACACGCTCTGTCCACTTCTACATCTCCCCACGTGCCCGATGCCTGCCTCTGCCCGCAAGAACCCCTGTCTGCTCTTAGTTCCTACTCTGAACAGGTGGTGACCTCCTTTTGTCTCAAATCATGGGGGTCTGGGGCAGCTCATGGCTGTTGTTTGTGTATGTGTGTGTATGTGTGAGCATGTCCTTATATCTATTAGAATGTGTGTGTGCTCACATGTTTGTGTGATTGAGTGTCAGGTGAATGTATGTGAGGAAGGGGCATGGACCAGGTCCAGCAGTGACCAAGCGGCAAGTCCTCTCTGTGTGGGATTTCTGTTCTTGCTTTTCCTGTCCACTTCTCTTAGTCACCAGGGGACTCACGACCCATTCCTCCCCCATCTCCTGAATCTGGGATGTCTCTGCCACATGCTTCACTCTGGGCCTCACTTGAATCTCTGGAGATTGGGATCCCGTCTGTTTCTGTTCAAACCCCTCTGACTGAATGTGAATAATAAGTTGGACCCAGGAATCTCCACTAACAACGGGAGTTTGGAAAAATACTTGCTTTGCTAATTCCCATTTGACTTTTGCCAAGAAGCATTGCATTTACCTATTTTGGTGCTATCCATCTTAGTATGAACACGGTATCTAACTATGTTTCTTCTGCACACTCTTCCTGTCCTCAGGACCCCGGCTTCCCTGGCCACTGTCCATCTGATGGTGCCCTTCTGCTCCCTCTCTGGGATACATGGGGTGTGAGGACCCCGTCCAGGATGACTGTGACCCTCAGAAGACACTGATCGGGGGCTGAACCTCTCTCTTTCCACCCAGCAAGCCAGCCCACCGCCCTCCTGCACAGACCCTAGACCCAGGGCTGCTTCCCAGGGTCACGTTTCCCAGCCTGGGCCTTCTGCAAGCCTGGCAGATGGAAGAGGAACAAGTTCTGGAATTGCTGGGTGGCAAGTCTTCATTTGAAGACCTGCGGGGAGCTGGAGGGAGCCATGTCCGTCTGTCCAGCATTTACTCCGCACACCCTTGGCTCTGTTTGGGCCACAGGAATGAAATTTTGGAACAGGAATGTGGCAAACCCAGACATCTCCATCGTAGCCAAATATAGGAAATGACTTTATGGGAAATGGAGACCCAGGCCTGGGAAGAGGAGCGCGCCATGACCAATGATGATAAACAAGCAACACAAAAGGTGCCCAGCCTCACAGAAATGTCTCCGGGGCCACAGATGGACATGCTGTCCACTACCAGCTGGAAGGCTGGTGGTTGCAGCCCACCCAGAGTCTCCTCAGAAGACAGACCTGGGGATTGAAGACCCCTTGCAGCAGTTCTACTCAGCATCCATGGGGTGGTCAGGGGTCAGAATGGACTCGGAGGCAACTCACAGTTATCCCTCACGAAGAGTTTCACATGAGTCCACCCATCCAACTCAGCACCCCAGAGGTGGATGTCACCCCCATCGTGCATGTCCCACAGATCTGGGGACAGCGAAGCCCCCTCCCAAATTACATGAGCCGCCTGTCTTTCCAGGATGCATGCATTCTATTACACCCGGCACAAAGCTGGAGGGTCCAAGGCTGTCTCTCAGACCCTGTTGGTCCCTTCAGCCCACCTTCCCATTTCCTTTCAGCATGAAGATGGCAGGTTAGAGCCAAAGGTGGACTCATTACCCCCTGAGCAGCCTCTCGCCAAAGCGCTCTAGCGTGGGCCCAGAGGTTTGGGTAACAGGTCATCTTTGTGGCCTGTTCACTGCTCAGCTGGTGTGGGTTTTCCATTTCAGCAATGTTCTCAGACTTCCCTCTCTTCCTGCCATCTACTGTTGCCCCAGATCCACCTGCCACCCTGCAGTGTGATAGACTCCTGCCGTCATAACACCCACACAGCAGCCCATGGCAAGCTCCCCACAGACACCCCAAACTGGGAGAGGCAGAGGAAGGAAGCAGGAGGAGTAAGGTGTGGAGAAGAGCAGTCACAGAAAGAGCTGAGAGCATGGATCTGGGGTAAGAGTCAGAAGACCAGAAAGACTCAGGAGAGAGAAAGTCAAGCTAAAAACAGAGACAAGAGACGGGGTCTGGGGACAGCAGGAGAGGGCTGGGGAAGCTCCCACTCCTGAAGACCAGTGAGGTGCCAACTTGGCAGCACCTGGAGCTCAGGAAAGCAGGAGGAACAGAGTTTTAGACTTAATGCCCCTCCAGGACTGTCCATTGTGCCCCCCTGTACCACTCCAGGCAGGAGGGAGCCACAAACCTGTCACGGTGAGCCTGGTGCCCAGCCCGAAGAAGAGGGGAGAGTTATTGGACACAGCCCAGGACTGCTGTGGTAAAACCCACCAGGGGCCTGACCAAGAATTAGAGACAGGGACCTGGACCAAGAGGACGGCCTGAGCACACAGTGGGGACAGAGGGACCGAGGGACAGAGGGAGAGGCTCAAGAGGATACAGACCAGGAAAGCAGAAACTGCTCACAGTGAAGAGAGACAGAGAGGGGACTCACTCCCACCACCCAGGGACCCCACAGGGGCAAGAATGGCCACTCAATGCCCTCCCACCAGAGGCCAAGATCTGGCTCTGAGGACCACACCACCTCCCTGAGCCTCCTTACCAAGGACGGAGATCCGTGTCCCCTCTCCAAAGTACTGCTGCCCCTGGTTGCCACACAGCACAGGGCCCTGCGGCAAACCCAGCCCAGCCAAGGCCTCCGTTCACACTCGGGGAGCCTACCAGAGTCTGCTCCAAACACCCAACTCTCCCAGCCGTGTTCTCAGTCCCTGACCCTCTCCAAGTTCTCCCAAGACTCCAACCTAGCCACAGGGCCTCCTGAAAGAAGCGCATCACTTACCCACAACAGAGAGCTTGGTTCCTAGGCCAAAAACGAGCTTGTCGTTAGTTGCACAACATTAAAGCTTGGCAAGAAAACGCCCTCCTGTACCTCCCATCCCCTGACCTCATCCTGGGCTAAGAAGACATTTGAATCTGGGAGACGGAGAGTGGCAGCTGGTTGACCTTTGGTGTGTGTCAGCCCCAGACCTCTCCATCTCCACGTGTCCATCTCCACTCTGGATGAGGGGACAGGACGGCAGTTCTGTGGTCCCCTTGCACTGCTTGGATGCCCTCAGGAGACAATTATGGACAGCTCAGCACAAAACAACTGGGGACCCAGCCCACTGTCCCCGTCTGTACAAGATAGGAATTCAGACCTTCCTTGGTAAACATGAACCTAGCCAGGCACTTCTGTCCCTGCTGACCCTGGTGGGCTTTCGGTCTACCAGTCCTAGTCCACTCACCAATGACACTGAGCCGGGTCCCGTTCCCGAAATAGACGGTGTTTCCAGAGCACAGCCCCCCAGGTCCACTTCAAAACCCCACTGTCTGTGCCCAACCACAGTCATGTTCCTCAGCTCCAGGGACCCTGACACATCCCTACTCCCTCACGCCTGGGGGCTCAGGGGATGGTGGGCTTCGTGCTTTCCCTTCAGAAAACCCCAACAGCTTCAGACAGGGCTCAGGCGACTAGGGGAGAGGACACAGAACCAGGTAAGAAGGCAGGTCTTCTCTCACCACCCCGTGTCCTTTCCGATCTCAGCTCTGGCCATAGCCAGGGGTCTGCCCAGCTCTCTCGCTGTCTAGGTTCACCCTTATAGCACTTGGACAGGGAGCAGAGTGACCCTCAGGCTGCCTCCCCCAGAGCTTACCGATGACAGTTAGCTTGGTCCCCTGGCCAAAGGTGGCATCGTAGTTACACACCAGGATGGTGCCTCTCTGAAACAGATTCAGGGGAGACCTGGGACCAGCTCAGGAACCTTACCTGTAACTGTGAGTCGGGTGCCTTCTCCGAAGAAGACTTGAGTGTTCGCACAGCGCTGGGGGCCAAGAAGGAAAGCAGACCCCACAAGACTCGGCAGTGTCTCCAGGGTTTTGAGGGCCTTGAGCATTTTCCAAGAAAGAGCATTTTCTAAGAAAGTCTTTGGATGTCTTGAGGCTCTGGAGTGCGGACGGAGTCCATCTTGTTCTAGGTCCTTGGGTTCTGTCCTGAAGGGTTCTCCCTCTGAGGGTCATCGAGGGACATGGTCTGGACAGGTGGCCTGAAGAGGGGCTAGTTCCCCTGGGCCTCTGACTCCATCCATTAGGATCACCAGTTCCCTAGTGGCTGCCCAGACCATCCTTCCTGCACCTTCCCCAGATCCACCTGGGCCCCAGTGGGGTAGGAATGGTGGGTCTCTGTGCCCTTCTCCATTGCCTCCAGACGTTCTTTGAAGTACTGTGCCTTACCTCCTTCCCCAGAGGCCCCTGGTCTACGCTGTAGACAGGTGAGGTGGTAGTCTCCTGCCCACTCACCCTGGGCCTGAGACCCGGGAGACAACTGGGAGGGGCAGGCAGAGGTTATTGTAAAGGCCTTCCATAGGGTTGAATCACCGTGCCCCCTGTCCCCACAATGTTACAACTTTGTACAAAAACGGCTCCTCCCATAAACCCGCCCCCCAGCTCCTCTCTTATGAAGGTCAGCTTTGTGGGAGGTGGGGTCTCAAGAGCTCTTCAGAGCTGAGCGTCTGCAGGGCTTACTGCGGAGGGGCTGCCTTTTCTCATGGTAACCCCACCTTCACTGTCGTCACATGGGGGACAACCTGTCAACAAGCAGCACCCCTTTTTACTTCTGTCCCACTGGAGGCTGTGGGTCACTCCCCCCAACTCCTGGAACTCAGACTCTAGCTGAACCTAAACCTCCAGGTGATCTCTTGTCAGAGTGACCTGGGGAAGTAGCCACAAGCTTGACCAGCTGAGGCAGACTATCTACAGTGGGTGTGTTCAGGGTTGGGTGTGGACAGAGACCCGGGTTGGTCAAATGGAGCTTGAGGGTGGAGACTGTGGAGAGCTACCTCCTAACAGTCACTGAATCACAGCACACACACCCCTGCCATAAAGAGTAGAACCTCAAGTTGTTGGTAATTATTCTCTTTCCCTCCACCAGGGGCGCCCTTGTGTATTCATATCCACTCCTGCTAAGAGTGGGTCCCTGGGGCCAGCTAGTGACACCAACAGCCCACGTCTCCTCGAGCATTTCCACCTGGTTTTTGGATGGGGCAGCACAGGTAACTAAAGAAAGGGCTCAGAAAGTGAGGTTGTTGGTGGTTATGTACTGTGGAGTCGGTTCCATCTCACAGCGAGCCTGTATAGGGTTTCTGAGGCTGTAAGGAGCAGAAAGTCTCATCTTTCTCCTGAGAAACCACGGCGAGTTCCAAACAGATGGCCGTGAGATTAACAGCCCAACTTGTAACTACTAGCTACAAGAGCTCCTTCTGAGAGTGAGAGGACATGTCAAAATGGTCTACACTGCCCATGCAGCCCAGGTCCAAAGGGTAGGATCCAGTGTTAGGGTCCAGGTCCCTCCTCTGGTGCTCATCCTCTTTTCTAGTCCGGCTGGCATCCGAAATGGGACCTGAGGTGTCTGACGCTAAAGCTGGGGGAAGTCAGGCAGAACTATTCCTTGTGAACTGACTGAACAAGACGAAACAAAACAAAACGTGGTTGTTCTAGGTTCCGGAATTTTCTCAGTGTGTCCTAAGTCACTTGGAAGCTTGTGAAAAAAATAAAAAATGCAGATTTTCTGAGTAGTCTCTAAGCATTTTGGAGTCAGAGCATCAAGAACTGGCTCTATAATCCGTGTTAAAAACAAAAACAAATGAACATAAAATGGTCCCAGATGTGACTGTTTTGAGCTTGGCTGAGACTCCTTGGCTAGAATAAGGCCCACGGCTCTGTGAGGACCATAATGTTTATGGGTTTCTGAGCTGTGTGTCAGATCAGGGCT